AACAGATCTCAAAGCCTGCTCTGATCAATCCCGATTTGCCTTGTATCGTCGATGCCCCTTAGAAAATGCCGTCTCGAGCGTCAGGATGTTGCAATGTATGACGTGAGGGAGGATGTGGAATGAAAAATATATTTTATTTAAAAAAATAAACAGCAACAGATTTCAACACTTCCGTCAACAGGCGTTTAAGTTTATTTTAATTGTTACACGGATGATCCCCTTTTAGTAAGTTGCCCGGCTACTTTTTTTTTACACGGGACATCCGTGGTGCGTGAGCAGAGCAAAAACAAATCAAAGGGCAAAGTGTGGTCTTAAAAGAAAATAATATATAGAAACAGGCGACGTTTCGGGCGATGGCCCTTCGTCAAAATGAAATGATTCTACGTGCGATGGCTGACAGCGGATGATACACGTGCAATCACAGCAAGTGGCCGCTGTGTTCCTGTATGGAGACAACGTGCCCATAAGGGTTGTAACAGGTGGCAACCAGTTTAGAGGGGGCGACAAGGGATGACCACGTGACATCACAAATATCGAGAAGTATAGCACATACTCAACTAAATTTAGTTGTTTTTATTTTTATTTGATTTTCACCTACGTGACTTTACCGATAGAACCAAAGAGTATGGATCCTTGCATACACGAAAACTTCAAATCTAGATAGTATAGCACAACCGACGAAAGTCATTTTGAACGTGAATTCCACGCTTGCGTATGGAGTTGTTCAAAAAGCTCGATGCCCGATGTCGAGGTCTGCCGTCCACGACGAGAAGGCTTTAGCAGAGAGAGAGAGTTCGTGTCGTTTTACTGATCCTCCTCCCTCCTCCGTTGATGGACCTCAGACTGTAGTAGGTTTACGATATGGGCCCATATATTGCGTTGCATAACGACAGTCGCACTGCTGTGGCTTGTATCTCTCTGGGTCTCTGTGTATCTCTGTGTACGTCCGTCTGGAACTCTCTTCACCCCAGCCATCCGTGCTGTCGACTCGTTGCCACCCGGTTGAAGAACCAGGCTCGAGAATTTTCCTTTGTTTTCTATTTCCCTTGGCGGCCTTTGACTCACTTTCTCTCTCTCTTAATTATTTGTTTCACTAGAAAACATCACATTGGATGTTACGGCGGTGGAATGGTTAGCACAGTGGACTCGTAACACGTAGGGCAACGGTGCGATCTCCTGTCGCGGCAGTTGAAACATCGGTACACGTTTCTTAAATCTCCCACTGCCACCCCTGTCCACTCAATGGTATCGACGGGTGCACCACCGTTAGCCGATCGCAGGTCGCGTTTGGTGGGGTCAAGTGTGGATACTCCCCCACTTTTTCCAAGGCGTCTTGCCAGCGTGAAAGAGTAGACCAAATATCCTCTCAGTCGAATTCGATAAAGAGGCTGCCATCACGTGGAGCGAAACTAAAATAAATAAAAAGCTCCACACACTCGGATCGGAACGTCGGACACGAACCTGAAAACGCATCGGAGAGCTACGCATCGGCATACTTTCGTTGTAAATTAAAACGCTCGTTTGTCAGTTTCCATTGCCAATCTTGTCCCATGACGACACAGGCAGCTGGGGGCATGGCGTTGGCAAAGCCGAGTTGGAGAATTCTGTAGCGCAGGGCTTCGGAATATTTTCATGAAAACAGGTGAAGTGTTGTCGGATGAATCATCGGACCGATGGACGGATGGACACACTGGACGGACACACGGATGGACACGCGAATGGACACGCCGATGGGCACACAGATGGACACACGTATGGACACACGGGTGAACACACGGGACGGACACACGGGACGAACACACGGGACATCCTCAAGAATGTCAATGCACAGCCCGATGGCTCTCTTCTGCACGAGGGCATTCTCGAGACAAGATGAAATATCCCAGATCCTGAACGCGGTGGGCTCCAGCGCCAGGCAATACCCGACACGGGATTTTCAAAACCTAAACTTCCCTCGCGTTGCTGTCTGCGATGGGCCGCATGAATCAGGTTCCCGAGACGGTGGCTTGAACGTTGCCCCCTCCCTACAAAGATAAGGACAAAGATCCCCCGTATAGCCTTGCCAGACTTTTGGGGCAAGTGCTGTTAGCGAGCACTAATGAAGGCCGACACGGCACACGAGTGGGTGGGTGGCCAGCACCACGCCCGCCAGACCGTCTTTGTCTCCCCAGTGGCGATGTTTACACACCGCACCAGGTACTCATTTGAGTCGACCGAAGCGAGACCCAGGACCGGTTCAGATAACCGTCACCGGTGTTGGCCGTAAGTGGAAATCGAACATGGGTCGCCGGGTTCGTAGCGCAGCGTGCTAACCGCTGCGCCACCGCTCTCTACACCTCCCCTATCACCACCACCCCCGCCTCACCCCTCCCCCCACGATCTAGCCACATTCCTGAAGAGATGAATGGGGAGTAGAGGAGATGTCAGGAGGATGAGGAGAGGATGGATGATTTAGGGCTGTGCTATGGAGATGTTTTACTGGTAGGAACCTCCTGGTTACACCAGCCCACAGGGAATTATTGTGTCCGTCGTGCAGGAAGGGGCTGGGTGGGGAGGGAGGGGCTGGGTGGGGAGGGGAGGGTGGGGAAGGGCTGGGTGGGGAGGGTGGGGAGGGGAAGGTGGAGAGGGGCTCGGTCGGGAGGGTGGGGTGGGGAAGGTGGGGAGGGGCTGGGTCGGGAGGGTGGGGAGGGGCTGGGTGGGGAGGGTGGGGCTGGGTGGGGGGTGGGAGGGGTGGGGCTGGGTGGGGAGGGGCTGGTCACCTCGTTGTGCCCTATAAAACTCAACGTTTAACCTACTCACGCCGGCTTGTGCCTGCCCTCACAGTCGGCCATATTTGTGGAATACACCACGCCGCCGTTGACCCTGACCATTGACCGAGCAACCCGACGTTCCTACCAGCTCCCTCCGCAGGAATGTGTTTGACACGTCCCCTCCCTCCCTACATGTGCATGGACATTGGTAAGGGCGCTATGGGAAAGATGGAAGCGGATCTATTACCAGTGAAGGTACTCCTGTTGGATGGGCCCAAACTGCCACCGCCCTCATCGTTATCGAACCGCAAATAATAACAACCAGCTTCATCAGGCGAACTACCGGCGAAAGGTCGTAATCAAGTTGTAAATGTTGTAGGTTTGCTCTCCAACACACCGGTGTGCTGAAGTAGCAACTAATTGGCACATTTGGTTTACGTGACAAACCCTTACTCATTGGCTGTGCCGGGTAGCGGTGGTTTAACGACACATTTGTGCGATCTAATCCTAAAAAAAACTTGTATTATTGTCAATATAGTGTCTACAAACCTGAAAATACTCTTTGGTTCTTTCGGTAAAGTGACGTAGGTATAAAATAAAATATATCACGACGTTTCGATCGCAATACAAGCGGTCGTCGTGATTTATTTCATTTTATTTTCTACCCACGTGACCTTACCGAAAGAACCAGAAAGTATGGATTCCTGCAGTCACGAAAGCTTCAAATCTCGCTCAAACCTGAGTATGTTCTCTCATGCAACTCGTCTGTACGATATGTATCTGTTATTATTATTATCGCGTGAATATATTTCACATCACGCGTGACTATTTATCCAACAAAATCCATCAATGAGTCCCAAGAGTCCAGACTCTCTTTCAAAGAGGGTGCTGCTTGAAGATGCGTGGCCAAATTTATTTTGAGAAGTCCCTTGCTTCGTTCGGCCTATGACCAATAAATCACATCGAACGTGCCCGATCTTGCCACGTATGAGCATCTATAACATGATTTATAATCATATGTAGTTGCGTTTTTACATATACATAGTATCGTCGCTCGTGCAAATTGCATCTCACAATCGATACAAACCCACAGACGAGAGAGAAGGCAGCAAGACGGAGCGCTACCAAATAATTGCCCAAGAATCGACCTCCAGTGACACCAGCGAGACTAAGAACAGACTTCGCCTAACACCACCAAGAGTAAGAAAAGAAACGTCACCTTACACCAGCGAGAAAAATAACGTGAGATCGCCCAAGACTGTTGGGATGGAGCAGAGTCAACTGGACGAAACGCACGGATCGTGAGGAGGGACGGATGGGTGAAACCTCCATCCATGGCTGATGATGATGATGACGAGGACGAGACAGTTGTTGAAGATGCAGGTGAAGTGTTCGCTGGAGTTGAGGTTGCGATAGTGCGAGAGGAAAAGGCGGAAAAGGGGGGGGGGTGGGGGAAGTGGTGGGGGGGGGCGCGGTGGGAGTGGAGAGGATGGAAAGAGGGCAGCGGGGAAAACGTGGAGCTTGGAGCGCGAAACCCGAGCCATACTCCTGGATCGCAAGTACCAATGCGGTGTGTCGAAGATCGATTTTACATCAGTGCGATGCCACCTGCTACGACTTAACGGTGCAGGTAACGTGGTCATTGTCGGAACTAGATGATTGAAGCAAAAATATTTAGTCGTGAGCGGGTAAAACGTGGGGAGAGGAGTGCTTCGAGTGCACATTGAGAGGCCGAAGAAGGAGCACGTGGATTGATGCGCAGGTTAACGGCGTCATTCAACCTGTGAACAAAGGTGAGAATCAGAATCTGTATTTAGACAGGAAAAATCCGATGAGCAATGAAGCTCTTGTTTTTAACACGTGTCCAGTATGGGCGGGTGTTGGGCAAGGACGTGTCGGAGAGTTGCAGCCAAGGAATGGAACGCGTCCGAGGAGACGTCGACAGAGGAGATGGAGCGATTGAGTCGGTGGTTGCATCGCGGAATCGTGAGTGTTGGCAGACACCTTTGGGGAAGTATTCATCCAGCAGTGGATTGACCCTGGCTATTGATAATTATGAATCCTCAAATCCTGGATTTCAGCGTCTGGAATCGGCGAAGAGTCTAAAACCCTGAGCCAGGAGCTGTCTTCCAGAATCCAAATACGTAGTCGGCAGAGGCTCGTTAAAGGATTACATTCCTGAATTCAGGATCCTGGAGCCAGGATTTCCGCATAAAAACCACGACTCGCCCTTGGTCTCCACCACACGTGTCTCCCCTCTGCAACAGCAGCTGTAGCATCAGCAGCAGTAGCAGCAGCAGCAGTGGCATCAGTAGCAGAAGCAGCATCAGCAAAAGTAGCATCAGCAGTTGCGAAATCATTTCAAAGCAGGAAGCAAAGCGTCTCAGTCTTCAAGACCTCCACAGATGATAGCCTTCCATCGCCATCGATGTCATAAGTTGAACAATTCATTGGCCATAATTAAATTAGCTTAACTTTCCATTTTTTTGTGAATACGTTAACGATAACGCCTGTAATTGGTGTTTTATGAAGTTCATTATTTTTTACTGATATTATACGAAGCCTTATTTAGGTTTCATTTTTAAGAGTGGATTCGAGTGCAGGTTACAGAAGACGGCCATGCGGTGGTTGGGGAGTTTCCTGCTGCTTACAGGTGAGTGACGCACGTATGTTGAACTTCTTTCGCACCGTACGTAGCCAACCGTGCCCATCGGAAAAGCAACGTGTGCGCGGCGTTCGTGTAATGTGCACCTAGCCTGGCACAAGCGTGCAGGGAAGTCGTCGCAACTTAGTAACGAATTGCTGCTGCTGCGTGTGTACGTCTATGTGTGTGTGTGTATGTGGGTGCGGTGGAGCAGTGGTTAGCGCGCTGCACTTCGAACCCTGCGATCCGAGTCAGATACCCGCTCACGGTCAACACCGGTGACGATTATCTGAACCGGTCCTGGGCCTCCCCTAGGTCGACTCAGCCTCAAATGAGTACCTGGTGTGTTGTGTATACATCGCCACTGGGGAGACAAAGGCGACCGGGCGTTGTTCTGTCCACGCATGGTGCTCAAGGACTAGTGCTCGCTCAAGACACTTGCCCCAAAAGTCGGTTATGGCTATACGGGGAATCTTTGTCTTTTCATGATTGTGTAGTGGGGAGCGGTAGTACGGTGATTAGCTCACTGCGCAACGTCAACCGGCAACCAAACATCGATGCGCTTACGTGAACGAGTGGCTGGCGCGGTGTGGTGTGAACATTACCACTGGGGAGACAAAGGCGGCCGGGCGTGGTGTCTGCCACACCGGTCTTAATAGGTGTTCGCTCACCGTGCATGCAAGCAGCGGTTAACGTAAGGCTTCACGGGTCTGTCTTTGTGTCTATTACAAAGCTGCGCGTTCATAACGGCGGATTCGCAACTGACCAAGTCCCTTGTTCGATGTTCGTCACCGCTACCCCTTGAGCTCATCGACGTCGTTATAATTCACAGGACCCCCCCTTAGTCAATGCGGGTCAGCCTCGTACCATTGTGACGCCAACGCACCTGTCAGTAGCAGATGAGCATCTCCGCGCGCACGCCCTGCGAACATCGGTAGAAGCGCGTCACATGTTTCCGTTCCGGAGAAAAAGTAATTACGGGGGGGTTGGGGGGGTTGGGGAGCGGTGGCGCAGCGGTTAGCGCACTCGCGCTATGAACCCGGTGAGCCCCACGGCGAACTCGTCGGCCACGGCTTGCGCGAGTGGTGGTGAGCGTGGTGTGAAGAATGGTCAAACAACACCCATGGCGTGGGAGAGGCCTTCACCCAGCAGTTGGATTGACGAAAGGCTGTACATTATTATTATGATTTTCATAATAAATAAATAAAAATCGAATGTGTTTATCCAGAGAAGCTTAACTGAGTCTCGAGACAGTTTCTTTTTTTTTCCAGGAGGTTTCTGCATCGCAATGTTTGGCCAATTGCATTCTTGTTGTGATCAACGATTTAGTGATGCTGCTGCGTTGGCAGCGGTGCACAAGCTCAAACAACCAACAACAACAACAAACACTCGACACACTCGTCAACAATACCGTGGCCTTAAATTGAAATACACGCATAATAGGCAACGTTAAAGGCAGTGTTCTTCACTAATTTTCAGAGGGGGCGGGGGGCACTTTCGCCGATAAGACATCGTGAGTGCGAGGGCCTCCACACATTTGAAACCGCTGGGGGTTTGACAGCAGCAGTACCACGATGATGATGATGGGGGGGGGGGGGTGTTTTCACATTTGTCTACTGGTCGGGAGTTCCGCACGTCAGGGCCGCACTGAAGGCCACCAAGGGCCGCCAGTGACCCGCGGCCCTTCCAATGAAAACCAATGGTCCCTTCGACAGATCCGTTCACACCCCCCTCTTTATTTTTCTATTAAAAACCAACACACAGCGTTGACGTGCTACCTGTGCCCACCTATTTTCGTTCGCCTCTTGCTCCCACAAATTTGCACTTTGTCTTTTTCGATTCGGGTGCGCATTTCGTCACCGTCGTACCAAAATTTGAGATCTTACCTTCACCTCTAACGAACTTCTTCCGACGCCTTTTGCCCTCGTTATTATGTGTGCTTCGACGCGCGCGTGTGCCTCCCTTGTTAGTTAGTCTTTGAGCACCGTGCCGTGTTCTCCTTCTCTGCAATACCCACGTTTCTGTCTTTGCTGTGCTGCTGCTGTTGTGCTGACGCAGCACCAATAATCTCCCCGCGTGTAGAATAGCCGAGCAGCTGGCTAAACGGGATCATTCTCCTTCGAACAAATCAGACACTCATACTCAATACAACGCCATTCATTATTAGGACGGGGGAGTTGTTTTTTTGGTGTTCCAATGATGTTGAACTGGTGTGTACCGAGAGGAACCCCGCCACGCTTTCGAAATGGTAACGCTCAAAGTTACACACAGACGGGTTCACGAACCTACTTTCTGTACCGCGGTACAACTACCAGCCATCACCTGGCAGCCTCGTTGGCCTGGGAGAGTTTCGTCAATGTCCCCACCCCCCCACCATCACCCCGTCCCCTCGTGATTCACCAACCCTTTACCTCCATGGCGTTGGGGGCCCTAGGCGGGCATAGCCGCCACGCTTGCGTCGTTAGAGGAATGACCATCAGCAGGCCCGGGCTGGCCATGGGGCAGCAGACAAATGCCCGGTAGGGCCGGTCCGTTCGGAGGGTCGGTCTGTGTGGGGAAATTTCAAAGGTGGTCAGAGTAAAAAAAATATTGCTTATTTACGCTTTCAGTTGGCATTAAAGTTCCCATATTCGGCAGCACCCAAAGATTATTCATACTCTTTGGTTCTTTCGGTAAAGTCACGTAGGTATACAATATTTTATTTTACGTTAAAATATTTTATTTTATATTAAAATATTTTATTTTATGTTAAAATATTTTATTTTATGTTAAAATATCTTATTTTATTTTATGTTAAAATATTTTATTTTATGTTATACCTACGGGACTTTACTGAAAGAACCAACAAGTATGGATTCCTGCAGTCACGAAAGCTTCAAATCAAGATAAAAGATTCTTCCTCACCAGCCCATTTGTGGGTTGGTTGTTTTTTTTCTATATTTTTTGGACCCAGCCCAAAATAGACCAATGAGATCGCACGGCGATTTGTGCCCCGGTGTCTTTACAAAAATGCCTCCAGGCAGATTTGTCCGTCACAGACCATCAGATCGCTCCTCACCTGGGAGGGCCCGCGTGTCTTTAACCCGACGCGTGATTCGGTGACCTCTGCGTTGGCAGTGGCGCACAGAACCGGCAGGTCCCCATGGTCTAGCCATGTGCAGTCTCCGACTCTTGTTATCCACCCCGTCTCTCTGGCTTCTCTACGCGTGTGCTATGCAGAAGGACCGTTGCCCGAAACGTCGTCTAGTCTATATTTGTCCCCCTTTTTAAGGCCACGCAGTGCTACTGACGAATGGGTGAGTCACGTCTTGTGTGTCTCTGCTGCGCGGCAACTGCAGCGTCTCGCACAAGGGCTGGAGGCGTTAGCCATGAATCTTGGTGGTGGTATCAACTTCGTTGACAATGACGACTTCTTTATCTTGACCTACAATTCTTTTGGTTGCGTTTTGGCTGCGGCTAAACTTTGTTTGACAGCACTCGACAGGCGAGGCTTGGTGGATCACATAGGCATCTGCGAAATTCCCAAGACACCCCCCCCCCCGATCCAACCCCCCCCCCCCCCACACCTTGGCTACGAGGTGGTCATTTGGTGAAAGTTGACAATATTGCAAGTTGGTTCGAGAGAACTTTTGGAGTGTTTTCCTCTCGTGGGATGATTTTTTTTTGGTCCGGGCATAGTCATACATTACAGAATACACTCCTGTACACATATACAAAGACAAATATCTCCTGCATAGCCTTTAACAGACTGTTGGGGCACATAGTGTTAGTGAGTAGCACCTATGAAGGCCGGAATGTCTACACGAGAGGGTGGGTGCCCAGTGGCACGCCCCAGTGCTCATGTTTTACACACCTCACCAGGTATTCATTTGAGGCTGAACCGACCTAGGGAAGGTCCAGAAACGGTTCAAATATTCGCCACTGTTATTTTTGGTCGTGAGCAAGAATCGAAAATTGTGTCGGCAGGTTCGTGGCTAAGTGCGCTAACCACTGCACTACAACTCCCCAGTACACACATATCTATATAAAGACAAATATCCCCCGTATAGCCTTAACACGCTACTGAGTGAAGTGCTGTGAGCGAGCTCCTATGAAGCCCGGAACGCAACACGAGGGGGGTGGGTGGCCAGCACCACGCCCGGCCACCTTAATCCTCGAGCGGCGAAGTTTTGACACACCGCAACTAGGTCCTCATTTGAGGCTGAGTCGACCTAGGGGAGGACCAGGACCGGTTAAGATAATCGTCACTGGTGTCGCCCGTGAGCGGGAATCGAACACGGGTCGCCAGGTTCGTAGCTCTGCGCGCTAACCGTGATGCCACCGCACGCTATCGCATCACACACACACACTCTGAACTTAACAGCAGATATCGGCACTGGCAAAACAGACTCAACGAGACTTTCCTGCGTAAAATAGGGGACAATTGTGATGAGTATCGTGTGAAGCAAGGTCCAATAACCCCCGCGACCTCCGGCACGCCGTGGGGAGGTCTTCCTCCAGCAGTGAATTGGCCAACGGAACTTTACAGAGACGTACATTGTGATTATTTTTTATTATATTTATTTTCATGATGACGCTCGTTTGACCAGAGGATCCTGCCACGTTTTTATTGTATTTGTTGCAGCTTGTGCTCTATGTATAATCCCGATTGAGTTATAAACGGGTATTATTGAACACGTGGCAAATTTCGACCGCGACGCCGGAACCGGTGACGCAATGGCTTACCACTTAAAAAATAATCACGTGACAGCATCGGTGTGCAGCAGACGACGCGCGTACATTGTCAAAGTGTTACGGTTAATACACGCGACGCAGGATTAACCGGGGAGGCAGCTTGATGCGAACCGTGACCACACCCCTGCTGGAACAAGCGGCGAAGGCGCTGCCGCAGGGCCGCGTCACTTCTAACGGGACACGGCAGGGGGTTCCACCCTTCGGCTCTTCCGTTCTTTCTCTGCTAACGCGAGCCGGAGTCTCTAAGAATGAGCGGATGTGAGTGAGACACGCAT